TCATGTCGAAATTTCTTTTCAGCATTCTTTTCGTATCCATAATCACTTTCATGACTACTCCCCAAGATCAACATATCGTCTACATATACACATACAACTACAAATGTATTTGATGTACCCTTAACATAAACACATTTGTCACATTCGTTGATTTTGAAATCATTTGACAACATCACGTCATCAAATTTCAAATGCCACTGTTTCGGAGCTTGTTTCAGTCCGTACAAGGATTTGATCAATCTGCACACCTTTTTTCTCTTGTCCAGGTGCTACAAACCTTTCGGGTTGTTCCATGTAAACTTTTTCTTCCAATTCACCATTCAAAAATGCCGTCTTGACATCCATTTGGTGAATCTCAAGATTGTGCATAGCAGCAATTGAGAGAAGCACTCTTATCGATGCTAAACGCGTAACTGGTGAATAGGTATCAAAGAAGTCATACCCTTCTTTTTGTTCAAAACCTTTGACCACCAATCGTGCTTTAAACTTATCAATCGTTCCATTGGCTTTATATTTCCTCTTTAATATCCACTTGCATCCTAAAGGTTTACAACCCTTAGGGAGATCAACCAACTCTCAAGTATTATTTTGTATAATGGACTCGATTTCGCTATTTATAGCTTCTTCCCAGAGTGGTCCATCTGGGCTGGACAGGGATTCCTTAATGGAACTCGGTTCATCATCCAACATGTACGTAATAAAATCAGGTTCACACGTTTTCACTGTTTTTACCCTTTTACTACGTCTCGGTTCTTCATCTTTTTCTTCAGTACCATCCGGTACAGAACCTCTAGCAGTTTCATATGTTCTTTTATTATAACTAGATTCTGCTCTTTCTTTCAGAGGAAAAACATTCTCAAAGAATATAGAGTTCCTCGATTCAATTGTGGTACCAACAGATACCTCTGGATTTTCTGATTTATGAACCAGAAATCTATATGTTGTACTATTGTACGCATATCCAATTAATATACAATCGGCCGTCTTTGGTCCGATTCTCATTTGTTTGGGTTCAGGTACTGAAATCTTAGCCAAACACCCACACACTTTTAGGTACTTATAAGACGGCTTATGATTTTTTTCACATTTCGTAAGGAGTCTCATTTTTTCCTTTAGTTGGTATTTTATTCAGGATATGATTTGCTGTTAAAATAGCTTCCCCCCTCATGTTTTGGGGTAGTCCCAAATATATCAGCATGACATTCATCATTTCTCTTAAAGTTCCATTCTTGCATTCAGCAACACCGTTCGACTGTGGAAAATAGGGGGCTGTCGTTTGATGAATTATGCCGTATTCAGAACATATTTGTTCAAAAGGACCTACATATTCCCCACCCCTATCACTTCGGATTATTTTAATCCTTTTGCCGAGTTGATTTTCAACGTCGGTCTTATAGTTTTTAAACACTTCCACAGCCTCGTCTTTGCTTCTTAACAAATATAAGTAACAAAACCTTGTGCAATCATCGATAAAAGTTATAAAATACTTTCTACCGTTCTTGTTTGCACAGTTTTCAGATCACATACATCAGTATGGATTAAGCCTAATGGTTCAGTACTCCTTTCCACCGAGTGGAAAGGCAGCTTAGCCATTTTTGCTTCAACACAACTTTCACATTTTTTGTATGATTCAATTTTAGAATTAGGAATTAATTCTAAATTCATCAACTGTTTAATTGCATTTAGATTTACATGTCCCAATCTAATATGCTATAAATCAGAGCACTCAACGGTATCAACAGAAATAGGCTTTTCATTATCATTGAAAACGGTTACATGGCTCACGGCCATTACATTCATTTTAAACAAACCCTTGTCGAGATAGCCACGACCAAGGAATGTTCCAAACTTGCTAAGAACAAACTTCTTAGCATCAAACACCAGCCTAAATCAATGTTCAACAAGAAAAGATCCGGAGGCCAAATCTTGCGGATGTCTAGGACATGCAAAACATCCTTAAGCTTCAAATGCTTTCCAGAAGTTAGCTTCAGCACCACAGTGTCAGCTCCAGCCACATCAGACGTGGAGGAGTTTCCCATGTGTAGTTTCCGACCAGTAGATGGAGTGTATTCAGAAAACAACTCCTTGCTGGAACACACATAACGAGTGGCACCAGTATCAATGTACCACTCCATTGGGTTACCCACCATATTGGCTTCAAACACCACAGTCGACATATCAAAGTTGGTCAGTTCACCCGGCACAAGGCCGTGTTCAGCAACAAGGGCACTCGGTTGCGCCTTCTTTTGCCCAACCTTCTTAGGCTTTCTGCAATCCTTAGCCATATGGTTTGGCTTTCTATAGTTGTAGCAGGTGCCTGTAAACTTGCAAACCTTGGCTGATTGCTTCCCTTTGTCAAGGGACTTCTTCTTGCTCGAGTTGCCTTGCTTCAACAAGTTAGCACGGGCCTCCATCATCGGGAGTTTCCCCGATGAATTACGGTTTTCCTCCTCAATACGAAGACGAAAAACCAGGTCTTCAAGCCTCATTTCTTTCCTCTTATGCTTGAGGTACTTCACCAAACCCAAAGTAGTTTGGTTAAAATGCATCTTCTGTTGCCATCTCTTAAAGTCAAGCTCGTTGAATTTTTCGGTCTTTTCATCAGTAGGGACATGGACAGGAGGTACGGGATGATGAAAAGTGTGGTTAATCGGCTGCTGAGTGTAGGAAACCATCTCTGAGGGATGCCATCAGTTCAGTAGGTTGAGAATGATATTCTGAGTGTATGAACCATCTCCGAGGGATGCCATCAGTTCAGTAGGTTGAGAATGATATTCGTCTTGCGACTGTTAGAGTTCAGTAGGTTGAGAGTGATATTCGTCTTGCGACTGTTAGAGTTCAGTAGGTTGACAATGATATTCGTCTTGCGACTCAACTCCATTCCAGTTCGCTGGAGCTCGTAATCTGGTGTGCTACAGATTTCGAGACGATCGTCGTTGTGTCTTTGTGGACGTTACGCATGAACCGTTAGCACTACACGGGGCGTAATCGTCTTGCGGAAAGAGTTTACCCGCCTCGGCTAAAATCTTTCCGTTTTCAAGTTGTAATTTTTTTTTCAGTTCTATTGTAATTTTCTATTTTTAGATCATTTGTAAAAACTAAAAATACATATCAGTTCGTAGGATCCCGTGTATTTTCGACACCCTATTTTTCTAACAATCGCAAGACGAATATTGAGCACTTAAAATATGAATAAAATTATCTCTCTTTTCTTAATTTGATAACATATAATTTTTATGTCTGTTTTTCTCTCTATTTTTTCCCTCAGCAATTCGTTCTCTATCCTTACTTTTCTCTTCTTTCTAATTTTTTCTTCCGTATCCTTTCTTTCTACTCCCTTTCTCTCTTGTGAAGTCCCATATTTATAGATGGGTTTTGAGCAAGTGGGCAGAATTCTTCACGTGTCTCAGCAGAATAAATTAAGTAAATCACCAATAATTGTAACAATAATGATGCACTTGGACAATAATGGTACAATTTGACAGTTGGCCATTAGCAGAGGAATCTTCACACAATTGGAACAAATGCATGTTGGGAAGTAAATGAATATTCAAGTGGGCCAATCATTTACCCTCTATTATTACAACATAAACCAGTAGTGATTTCCAACTTATTAAGTACATCCAATAGGATCGACAGACTGTATCACCCTCAAATGTAAGTTGGACTAAAGTGGCATAAATAGAGAATAGTAAGCTAAAGGTAATCACAACGCAACCAGCTTCAAGATAACAAGAAGATGAAAAGGAGAGAGATGGACTGTTGCTACAATTGAGAAGATAATTTCCAATAGATTGACAGCTTAAGATATGTATGAGGTCTGTAATGCGTGATACAAGTAGAAGACAAAACCGAACTAATAATAGAAGGCAAAATAGAACTAACTAATTTCGGCCGATGCTATGGGACATTCAATACAAGATTTACAGACTTACGAAATAGTTTAAAGTGGCTGCTAGAACATGAAGGCTTATCAGTTTAGGAGGATGCATATTCAGCTAATGTTGTGTTTCGAATAAGGCTGAACATGAGAGTTGGAGAATTTCGAACCGTTCCGAAAATCGAACCGAACTGAAAAAAAAAATTATTGGTACTGTTCTAGAAATTTCACAAATATTTGTACCCAGGACCAAATCAAATCATCTGATACCATATTGAATCGAAGAATCCAAATTTAAAACCGAATTATAATATTAAATGTCTTGTTCAAAGATTTTATATCCACTTTAATTCTATATTATTTGAGTATCTTTAAAACCTTAATAACATATAATATATAACAATTAAACTTCACTTAAATTTCATACTTAAAAATATCTCATCTACAATTAATTTAAAAATGTATTTATAATATATTTGTTAGGTTCTGTTATAGGCTTATTCCATATCATAATTAAAATGGTTTGAAAAGTTAAAGAAATAATTAAAAAAATAATTATATTATATTTTATTTGAATAGCAAATATTCATCACTAGTTGCAAAAATTTAGCCTTATCTAAATTTTTGAGTTACTTCAATTTTTTCTAAAATTTCGAATAAAATACTTAATACGGTTAGTATTGACGAATTTTGCATTTTCTTTAAAAAACAAATTTCACAATTTAAATAACTAGATAGTATTTTGAAAATAAATTGAAAAATAATTAAAAAATTTGCATTTTTAAGGTTTAGGGTTCAGAGTTTAGGGTTCAAATACCGAACCGAATCGAAAAAAGAAAATCTCCAACGGAATCGATTTATTGGTACGATTCTGAAAATTTAATTTTAGTGATCTCCCAATTTCTGTACAGTTCCGGAGATATCTTAATTTCGAACCTTACTGATCCATGTTCAACCCTAGTTTCGGATGCATACAAGCTCCAGAATGAAACAACAAAGTGCACTTTTGTATTCAGAACGATGTTATACACAATTTGAATTTTACAGCATCAGACTAATTTATCATAATTAAAACAATTTTCGACAAAATCACAAAATAAATTATTTACCTAAGCTAACAGAGTCCAAAAATTCTGAAAATTTTGGACTCAACAATAGATTCATCATTAACATGATCAAGAAAAACTGAATAAAAATTTTACTACGTGAAATCAGTTAAAAAGTGCGCTGGCCTGCAGAAAAAAATCCATTTGATAATCTACCAGCCCACGTATATCACCTCTTACCTGGATCACTACTGCATCCTCAAGAAAACATCATTCAGATGGCAACTACCATTGCCTTTCCATCACCAAAGATCAAAGAATCATATGTCGGGGGAAAAAAAAAATGAATCGAAATATTGTACTCACCAATAATAGATACATAACCTATGTGCCACTTGAAGAAGGCACCATGATCCTGGTTCCTACAAGAATGCTAGAATATCAGAAACATGATTTTATTGAAATATAAATTTTATGTACAAGAAGCTCCGTTTGCTATCTGTATTTGCTAGGTACCTTATCCTACGATTGAGGCTCATACATCGAACAAAAAGATCTTTACAGACAAAATGTCAACAACTCAAACATTGACAGAATGCTCACAGGCAAATATTCGCTTCAAATCAACTAACCTGGGGCTTTAACCTAAAGAATATGATAGCCTAACAATAGTCTGGATAATTGCATGAACAACATCTAATTGTGGTCCGTTCATGGCAGTAAATCCTTTTTCTCTCTCCTTCCCTCCTTTTTCTTCTTCTGATAGTATAAGATACAGAAATATACAACACCGCAGTCTCAAACCATCATATTTAAGTCCGACAAGTCATCCATTGGGATTCCAAGGCCACCCATAAAATCATGATCATGCAATCCATCATCCTCGATATTTAACCAAGACCCTATATCCTCTCCTTGACCACCTAAATCATCAGGAACACCTATATCATCCATCTCAGGGAGTTGAAGGCCTGATAAATCAATTGGCTCTTCCAACATCTCTGAGTTATTATAGTCAATGTTATTGTTCGTATTTTCATGCCCGCCAACTTCATTCGAGTTGAGGGATGGTGAGAACACTCCTTTTGCCTGGTCAGCCATTTGCCCTAAAGATCCATTCACCGAAGCAGACAAATGAGTTGTTTTCTGCTTAGGTTTTGCCTTGGACTTTCTCTCTCCTTTAGCAGAGTTTGCCGGGCGGCCGACTTTACCAGTTCCACTTCTGCCTAAACTGTTTCCCTTTCCTTCTCTGTCCCTCTCACTCCTTTTTCCTTTGGCGCTGCATGAAAGTGAACCACCAAGTACTGGCTGCAGACTTGGGACTCTGCCACTCGTTCCACCAACATCATCGAGCATCAGTTCCCTTCTTTTCACTTTATTTGACCAACTGTCTTCAGTACCAGTAATTTGTTGTGAGCCCAGGTTTGCTGATGGGAAGGCTTCAAATGAATATGTATCCTGATTGTTTGACATGGGGCTCTGCTGTGTGCCCAGATGAGCTGCATAACAATAATAATAATAACAATAATAATAATAATAATAATAATAATAATAATAATAATAATAATAATAATAATAACAATAAAACGGAGGGGAAGAGGGAGGGAGATAGAGAGAGGTATGCATGTTTTCAGCAAAAATATAATTTTACCATATCTGGGCAATTCGTGTTCTGGACATTTGTAGGTTGCTTTTGACATTTTTATACTCTTTTTGATTCCTGGCTTTTTCCATCTTGTTCCTTGTTATTTATATATTTGTATTTGTTTCTACATTGTTTCTGTGCGGTTTCCAGACGATTAAAAAACAGTGATAACATTTTGAAACAATTAAGAAACAAATACGAAACAGGAGTGTATTTTTCGGAAAAGAAATTCACAAGTGTATTCCTGGACTACACTGGTAAAATATCATTTAGCTAAAAAAGTTGGTTTTTTGCCCTTTTAACTAATAAAACATCCCCAAACCAAACAAGGGAGAAATAAGGGAAAAGGCAGAAATGTAAAGAAACCCCATAAATGGTGATTAGGCATCACGCAGTTCATCTTAGCCACATACCTGGAGTTCTAACTTCCATAGAGCAGCCAGAGATGCCGAAATTGAGTTTGTTACATTCGTTGTCTGTGCTGGAATTCAGAGGCTGTCCATCAACGAGGCGCGAGACTCCAGAGAGGAACATGTCCCTGTACAAAGGATCATCAAAGCAACTTTTTCCTGTAGCCTCAAATTCCTGGTACCGCTCCAATGTTCGCTTAACAAAAGCCAAGGCAGTTTGTTGTTTGGCAATTTTACTACTGTTATTCTTCGTACCCTGACTGTTAGGACCCAAGCAACTCTGCAGCACGAAAAAAACAAATTGATCAAGAAACACATTCAACCAGCATACTTTATATTCAGGTCCGGAATAAGTAGTTTGAGCCGATACTTCAACGAAATTTTTTATCAGGCCACGTTATGATGCCCAGATACAGAGTAATCATGATTCCTAAGCAATGAAAAAATATGAAAACTCTTCATCAAAAGAAAAAAGAAGAAACTTAAGATAAAGGATAACATGATTATGAGTTAATTACACAAGTTAAGGCGAAGCAAATATAAACTGGAGCTGGATATTTACTAACAGACACCACCGACAATTAATGAATTGAAGTAATCATTAACTTCAGAATTGCACTTTTTCCTAAATGGTCTCTCTCTCTCTCTCTCTCTCTCTCTCTCCTGTGTGTATATATATATGTACACGTTCTGCTCATGCGAGTGTGTGATTTATTCCTTTATTATCCGAACAGCAACCCTTCATATTCATTTATAAATTAAGAAAACACTTCAACTGCTGATATGTGGTTATTGTTTGAATGTTTTGCATATAAGCATGCTGCTAATTGATAAATTTCTTAGAAGCTGATACTTGAAGGAATTTCGAACATAATTTCTACAAAGATTTTCTAAAATTAAAACAGAATCTTATAAGGTCAAGCATTCACTCAAGTGTCCATATCTATACTTATATTAAAGGGGGTACTATTTACCAAATTAAGTAGCCAGAAAAGTCAACATCATTTATTGCATTACTATTTCCGTATTATGCTATATAAAAGGATATTCTATTTACTACATTTACTATCCAGAAAAGTCAACTGCATTAAATGTCATTACTATTTTGGTATTATAATAGTTTATTTATTTAATTAATTTATTTATTTGTTTTATTTTAAAAAGGTAAGTATAATAAAAAGAATTTAATAATAAAAAAATCAAATACCAAATAAAAATGTACAATTTGACTTATTTGATTATATTTGGTATTTGATTATACCAAATATATTCCTATCTATCATTATATAAAAAGAATAACTTTTTTACAATTTTAGAAATATTTTTCCGCCAAATATATTAAATGTATCCTATATATAGTAATTGTTGTACAATATTGATAAGGCAACAAAATCCGCAAATTAATTGTGTTAGAATCTGTTTTCCTTTGTGCTGTTTTTTGGTATTGAAAATCGCGTTATAAAATCCCATAGCATAAATTTAGAGTTTATCTCTTATATGTTACAAAATCCCATTGCATACTTACGAGTTTAAAAAATTTCATCTCTTATCTATAAAGATTTAAAAAAAAAAAAAACAATTCATAATTACTACTAGAAATTCATTATCTACTTTAAAAAACTAATTTTCATCGGTCTAATTACTAATATTTTTTACAAATATTATAAGCTAACATTACATTCTCGATAACAACGTAAAAAGTATAATAATAATGGTGTGTAATCAATTTTTTTAGATGGACGTAATGCAATGTCTTTTTTAAATTATACTTATAATATTTTAGATATTTTAAACAAATTGTTTAGATATATTTTTTTTACATATTCGTCTACATATACATACATATATATATATATATATACATATACACATATACATAATTGATGTTAAATTTAAATATTTGTAGATATGTTTTCTTTACAAAATAGTCTAGAAAAACCTTTTTTACACAATGTTAAATTCAAATATTTTTAGATATTTTTCCTTCCAAAATGGTTTAGAAAAGTTGTAGGTGACTTCACATCTTTCAAAAATAATATAGAAAATTTTGAATACTTTTACATATACTAATTTAATATTTTAGGTGTTTTAATATTAAACATACAAATTTTATATTCTCTTATACAAAATAATGTAAATTTCATATTCTCTTATACAAAATAGTTTTACATTGTTTGACCCCGAATCTTTATTTATAATTATTAAGTATTGTTTATCCTCTTATTTAATTTATAATTATTTTTTTTTCTTTTTAAATAGGATCAATAGTAGTTTTCACTTCCGCCATTGAGTGACTCAAACTCGAGGTCTATTTATAATATTGTATAATATTGTTCCCGTGCATCGCACGGGATACACACTAGTTCTGTCTGTATAGGAAATCATATCATGGTATAGAAAAGATAATACACCTTCACCTTCACCTTCACCTTCATATATTCATGTATTCAAGAAAAGAGGAAGAAAGTCCAGATTACCATGTATTTTTCATAGGCCATTCCAACAAGTTTATCAAGAGCAAGCACTTCAAATTCCCTGCGACATAAGGAGCTTCAGTTATAATCAAGACAGACAGGCTGTCCACAGATTTATATTGACAGTTTCATATGGAAAATGAACTCCCTACTTTTCCTGCAGCTCTTTAGCTTCAGAAACAGAACTCAGAAGTTTGCCGAGGAAGCTTTTCTTCCTTGAAACCTGGGAATTGACTTAATAATGAGAAAGAATGCTAACGAATATATAAGTCAGAAGCTTCAGTAAAATTTTACTACAGCATCCAAATTAACTGCTGTTTTAACTATTGATCTACATTTGTCAATATATCCTCTTAAGTAAAAAAAAAATAAAAAATGAACTAAAAAAATACTCTCAGTCTATGATTTTCCAGGATAATCCACAAGAGTAAAAAGTCAAACTTCCGATTGATGGATACAAAGAAAGTATATACAGCCATCCCAGGAATCTTCTATTGACCTCAACCAAGGCTCCTAACTTGCACAAAAATGTCTCATGGCCAAGTGTTTTCTTACACGTTCTACTTAAAGACATTTGATAGTTCCTTCAGTCATTTCTTTCTTTGTGTGTATTGCGTGTGTATGTAGAGAGAGGGAGAGAGGTGTTAAAGGGGTATGTGTACAGAGAGACAGAGAGAAACTATGTGAGCCACTTAAAGATGTTTGATAGTTCCTTCAATTGTTCCTTTTTTGGTGTGTATTGTGTATGGATATGTGCATATATATGTGTGTGTGTGTGTGTGTGCGTGTGAGAGTGAGAGTGAGAGAGAGAGAGAGAAGTGACAGGTGCAGGTGCAATAGATTTCATTAAGCCTTCGACAAAAAAACCAGCAATTTTAGACTGGAATCACATCTTACCTGTTCCTGGTATTTCTCGTCCAAACTATTGATATCTCCACTTATTTCCTCATCTCCACACTGTCAAATCACATTGGTCAAAACTCAAAAGACTAAACAATAACTATAGTGTGGAAAACTTAACAGGGTAAATGGAAACAAGTGCTCGACTAGACACCTTCCAAGAGAAAAATATAACATACCACTAGATCTGGGTAGATTCCTATGTTGTGAACCTCTAAGAGAAGTCTTTCATTTATTGGCAAATTACAATATTGATAGTCAGAACAATTCATGCCAGGCATTGACTGTTCTGTATGTAAACGAGTTTGCACATGATCATAGCTGGGAATCCCTGTGTCAGGAGTAGACACAGTACTGCACTCTAGCTCATAAAATGATCTCCCATTAGCATTTACATCATAACCATTCGGCATAGGATATGCCGAAGGGATAAGTGAGATCTGAGAGCACAATGTATCAGATTCTATATCCTTTTCCATTTCAGAGTGAGATCCATAAACATCATATCTTAGGTTATCTTTTCCATAAGGGGCCACATTTCCTTCTTCAGGAATCAAAGCTGCGATTAGCCTCTGATACAGGGGAATCTCATTTGGTGACTTTGCTTCTAATGCTGTATGTTCTGCACTAAGTTCCACACTTCTTGCTTCAGTTTCCTCTCTGCCAAAAACATTTGATCTACAGCCATTAGGTAGTAAAGTGCTACTGCCGGCATCGTGAGGGGCAAGAGCAGGTGTATCCACAGCTAAACCAGGATTAACCTAAAGGATAAACATGGAATTAGGATACACTAATACACCACATTCGTGATAGAACTTAATTGTACATAAAAGTCAATAATTACAATGAAATATTTTCAGCACTCTTTATTTAGGAGAAATGTGTTAAAATATTGCATCCAAACAAAATGTAAATCAAGTAGGGCACCTATTGCTTATTCATAAACATAAAATAAAAAAATCTCAGAAAAAGATGCATGAAAACATTCAGCATAGCTGTTCTATGATCTTGAAGTATATCACTAAACAGGGCAGAGAACATGGAAATGGCTGCAGTGAATCAAGCAGCACACCCCCAAGTACACTAATCTTTAGATGCGCCAATAAAATAACATTAGATCCAAGATTAGAATAAGACCTGACAATAGAATAAAGTGTCATGCATTACATGTATGCCTTGCATTAATGATTAATGTCCATGGAATGTACCACTATACTGCAGCTACTCAATGCAATGGTCATGAGCCGATACTGACTATTGGGGAGACATGAAAATTTAGTGCTCCCATTGAGATTAGTAACTTTCATGGCTGTTGCTAAATACAGAACGTAACTGCAAATGCACTAAAGGTCACATCCATCATTAAATACAAAAATTCTACAATAGTACAAGTTACTTTAACAATAGGCCATATCAACTACAAGTTTACTACTACTTCAAAGCAGTCATGTCTTTGGAGTAAGTAGATGTTGTCTATTTCAAGTAGGATATCTACATCAGATATAAAACAAAACAGAAACAATCCAACAACTCGTTTCTTTGATTAAATACAGAATTGATTATGCAGTTACAGATGTATTTAACATAAGGTAGCATTAACTACAGATTTTATTACAATGTAACAATTATCTTATCGCTGTGTAGAGTTAATAGATAAACTCTACCTGATTTTTCAAATAGGATAAGTCCACATCAGATATAAACCGAAATAGAGGCTCCATCATCTTCCAGAACGGGCTAGAGAGGGCATGAGCTGCATTAATTTAATGACATTAGATACTAGAATGATTATCATCAGGTGAAAATTCAAAATTATAAGCCAAAATAGAGAACTGATGGTTGTTCGCATGTTCAATAATAGCGACCGAAGTTGAGATATTTATTCAATCCACATTTCAATCTCCATAGAACGGCTAGGTTTTACGTTGGCTCGCCAAGCCTATCACAACCCTCCTCCTTTATCACAACCCTCAATCCACATTTCAATATTTTTCATATTTAAGGCTTTCCATTTAACATCAGAAATGAATATGTCCATTTCTAGATCTACAGCCTACATGGGTAAATTTCAATAAACATTTCATATTATCAAACAGGATCCACAAAATTAATGTTTTTTTTTAAATCCAGAACCAGGTTTAATAATATTATTTTCTTTATGTCCAAATAATAATAACATCGATGTGACATAAAGGACCAATTTTCAACTAAATTCCCAGAACATGGTTTTAATTTAATACACAGAGTTTAATAATATGACCGACAAATTACCAGCAATGGTATTAGATTATGTTAATGAATAAAAATGTTCTGTCCCATAAATACCACAATGGAATCCATATATATATATATATATATAACCTAATAAATTTTACCTATGTGGCATTATTCCTCCAATAACCGTTACAATTCAATATTATTATTATTATTATTTTTACATTAATCCACCATATCCCATTAATGATAAAGTATTTTGTTGCACTACAGTTACATATTAATTAAGTAATAATTATATTCTTTATTGTATCATATAATAGCTATTATTAAAATTAATAATTATATTATGAAAGTTACATAAACATAAAAAATTACATTGTAAGAACTTTTTATTCAAGTTATGTATTTTAAAATCAATATTATATTTTTTTATCTGATATATTATATTTTTTTATCTGATTAAGCGATTGTTCTTTAAATAAATTAATTTGTTTAAATGTCATAGTAAAATTCCTTATCTCATAAGCAAGTGCTATAATAAATTTAATTTTTTCAGCTAAGTAATTGGTCATGATCCCTCAAAATTACAAAAAATACATTATGTATTACATTTATGCAATCAATATAGTGATTCATATGCATAGTGATTCATATGCAATCAAATCATTATGTACTATTAATTTTACCCAATGATCAAGTTTTAGAACATAATACTATTATCTAACTTATAATTTTAATATTATACGCAATAATATTACTTATAATACTCTATGTTTAAATTATAATACCATTATCTAACTTATAATTTTAATATTATACGCATACAAATAACTTATAATACTTTATTTACATCTGTGCATTTCGAATACTAGTGCATTTTCAAAAATGACATCTCTTTACACAGAAAACATTAAAGCATGCCTGTGTTAATTTTCAACCAACAGTTTTCATTTTAACAAAATTTCCATAAAGTAATTTTAATAGTTATGGGAAAATTAATTAATAATTCCAACTCCTGAACGGAGGAAATATTAAATTGAGGATGTAATGGAAATAACAGACTCTAGAAATGTAACTAAATAACACAATTTCCAACCTACATTTTTATTTCCACAAAATTACCAAAACAAATTGTTATTATTATTATTATTATTTTTTGTATTTATATGAAAACTAAATACAAATTGTTCCAACTATTGAAACGAAGGTAATATTAAATGGAGGATGTAATGGAAATAACAGGCTCTAAAAATGAAAGAAATAATACCAGTGTCTGTAACAGCATTTGCAGCAGCTAAGAGCTCTTCAAGACCATCATCAGAACCAACTGTTCCGTGGTATAGATATAGATGTATATTACAGCCACGCAAAGGTAAACCGAAATCAAATAAATTAACTGACTGTTGAATCCAAGTTCACACACTCATTCTTAATAATTAATTTACCGAGAAAATCTGCTCCAGCATTGACAGTGATATGTTTTTGTCGTGTGTAAGGCTTCCTATCAGAGAGCTTTCTACTAGGTGGACGACCCAGTCTGCTGAAAGAAGCAAGATATAAAAGCACTTCAGTTTATAAGCTTGCGTCAGTGAAAGAGCAAAATATATTTAAGAAGACCAACTAAAAAAAGAAACAAAATTGAGATTTCTTTAAACCTTTCACTCTTGTCAGGGACAATTCTAGAACTTCTAATTTGTTTAGTTGCTCCCACGTTCCCATGCTTTTCGACTGATGAAGGTAAGAGGGACCTGGATGAAGTATATCCTCGACCAGTTCGACCTTGCTTCCTGATACCATCTCCATGGTCATATCCATTTACTGTCTTATTTTTTCTTGGGGGTAGCAGCAGTGTTGACATTTTCTGGATATTCTGACCACTTTTTTCATCTATCTCATCACAACTCTTAGTCTTCTCTCTAGACTTGATTTCAGCAACACCTGACTCCTCACTCTCAGATAATGCAGCTGGAGAGAAATTATCGCTCTTTATTTTGACTTGCTGAGGAGAACTGGCAGGAAAACGTCTTTCAGCCATCATATCGGATGTGGCATCTAAAATGGGATTCTCATCATTCCCAGGAACAGTCGGCAACAAATTAGTTCTTCTGGCAGTTCTAGAAATCTTTTGAGGCCTTTGAGCCCAGTTAGCAACAGGAGAAGAAGACCGTGCAGAAGGAGTCCGTTTGCGACTGTTAACTCCAAGGCCACCAGGAATTTTGTTTATGCAATTAGAAAATTCCCAATCATGAGATCGCTGCGCCACATGAGACAACTTTGACGCACCACCAACTGAGCCTGAACGGGGGGCACGAACATTTGCGTTCAACTTTGAGCCTGAAGTAGGGCTGCCTGAACTTAAATCTTCCCGAGAATTCGCCCTTGGAAGGCCATAGATTCACAACGAGAGATAATTCAAAAGCAAATATAGTTGCCAAGATAAGGTGAACATAGGACAGAATACACATACAGTACATAGAGACAGAAGAACAGCAAACTGAGATGTAAGGATTTCTTTCCTCAAAATTTAACCTACAAATACTTCGACGACTATACTATGTTACGATACTAGTCTTCAACGTCCACAATGCATCCTGCTCTTCAGAAAAAAAAATCCAAAGAATAGGGCAGGGGAAACTGTAGCTATCTCCAGCAGGCTTTCAGGACTCAGATATGCTCTAAATTTGATAGTTCATTTTTCCAGTAGGGCTAATAAACTAATGGAAACTTTAACCATGGTCTAGGTTAAGTTTCTCAAATCCAATATTATATTCGGAAAGGACCAAATTAAAGTTATAATGAGTCCAAGAGCGATCAAAGGAGGGTACACAGCCCAGAAATCATGTTAGCAGCTGCTATTCACTATTCTGATTAACTAATTAACCTTTCTTAGTGCTGAACTGGTATATTACACTATATTTACCAACAAAAATTCTTGCATTGATTAAGGTTCACCAAAGAAAAACACCACATACTTTTTGTTATCAAGAAAACTTATGTGGACACACTTTGTCTAGCAATATAATGCCACTAAATAAAACTAGAAACAAATTGCAGAAAATATTAAATGTTGCAACTCAACATTCAAGTAATCTGAGAAATGTAAGACCTATTAATCTGTTCATAATGAGTTGCAGCTCATACTCGCTATTTTTGCATTTCAATGATTAAAAGAAAAAAAAAATAAAGCAGTTCAAAAACAATAGGATAATAAGAAGCAAAAACCCTTCACAATTTATTAGAATATTAAAATATCCAAGAGGAACTGGGAAAAAAAACTCATACTTGTTCGCAACTTTCAGGTTCACTCTTTCTTTCTCTTGACCAATTGGACGTTCTCTCCTCTCATGGAGTGTGTTATCGGAGTCAGTCCTCGATGTGGGTGTCCGCATGCCTAAGCCAGTTTGCACTGTGGCTTCAGCTTTTCCTACTCCCTGACCTCCATTTATAGAGCCAGATCTATGTATAAAGACAATATCAAATTACGTGAGAAATTATGTCAGTGGACTAAGATTTGCATCAACAACAATGAATGTTTTCACCAAGAAAATAGAAAACAATAGGGATAAGAAAAGAAAAAACAAAGAAAGAAATGCTTCTTCCAATGTGTAATATGAGGTCTCTGGTCAAACAAGAAACTAAGGATAAATAAATCAGGTCGATCATACATGCTATCATTTATCACCCAGATAGACAACAAAATGCCAAACGTATCCCACAAAAAGAGCAGCACCATCCAAAAAATAAAATTACTGAGTTATACAGAATATACCTGAAGCCATGGGCATCGATCGACCTCGAACGGGGTTCAGTGGTAAGCCGCAGATGCATTCCTTGTTTAGGTTCTCTGTAGCCATCAACTGGTTTTGCCATCATCGAACTACCAGCAGCATCTAGCTTTATACCAGTTCGCTTTTTCTTCATTTTTGAATTCTCCCAACCATCAACGGCCACTGATAAAGACCGATCGTCACTCTGAGATGCGCTACCATTAGAGAATCTTACTAGTTCCCTGTCTTTATCCACACTTCCCAATGGCCTTGAAGAGTTATTTGCACGTATGTCCATCTACAAGGTAAGAAAAACAATGTCAGACTTCATGAGAAAGGCTTCGGAATGTGAAATTTGGCATGTCCTACAAGATTGAGAAGGAAACAAAACTGGACAGAAAGAAAAAAGTCCAATTGGGCAAAAATTTCAAATTCAAATGGGCCTTCGCAGCTTAATAAGGACGTCACAAAAGCAATCCCTTAAATTTCAATATGAGGCTGAAGAGAACTAAGAGAGAAAAAAACAAAAAAGCTAGATAATTATAGCAGCGTATCAGCTCTGCGCATAAGAAAGACATGAAGAAAGTTACATGAAGCATCAAACAGTGAAAGAAAATGGGAAAAATGAAACAAATAGGAAATGAATTAAGAAAAAAAAAAAAAGCCAACCCTTGCGTCAGCCAGAGAAGTTCTAGTACGCTTGCTTGGAATAGCACCCTTGGTCCTTTCTTCAGGTCTCTGTTGCTCCAGCTCAAAAACACTTGTACTTGCATGATTCTGAGAGGCTGTTTTCCCGATGCCCATTCCGGATGCCGACCGATCAATCGACAACAAGGTATTGGATCGATCATTGGACAAGGCATCAAGTCGGGATCTTTTCCTCGATGGAATAGCCGGAAAACACTTGTTAATTACTGATAAACAGTCATTAAATATCTTCACACGTTCCCTATTGTGGTTGCAACATGTCAATATACCGATCATGTAACAAAGGAAAGAGGAAAAGGTGCAAGAAAAAAAAAATCAAAAAAAAAAGAACAAAAAACACAATTACCTAGCTTTAGTACCACTTTCCCGCACGCCAGATTTAAGTCTCCTGAGATCCTCTAGTGAGGGGGTGGACAGCTGTTTTCCTTTTGCAGCTGCAGGTAGAGAATCTTCCAGTGGAACGCCAACTGCAGCACTTGCAAGTCGCTTGAATTCTGCTGGCCGATTCAACTTATGCTCTACCACCATAGATTTTGGATCGATACGCACACATTGGAAGAAGTTGAGTACATCCCCTTGAGTTACAGAAGAACTGGTTCTCGTCATGTTCGGCAGACTCGATAAAAGAGGATTCTCTGTGTTTTCACGGAAGCTACCTGATCTGTCCATTGAAGGAGTACCATAGGATCCACGATTCCCAGATGCATATAATGGCCTATCCGGGCTACCAGAAGAAAGATCAAATTTGCTAGATGCAGACATGGCATCAGTTTCCACACAGTATCCGTGTTGAAAAACCAGTTAACACTATCTTGCATGGCAATGTTGAGTCACTGTGAAGCATATGCATCAAACCTACTGCTTTGAGTACTCAATAAAACAAAGGAGCAATGACAGACCTGCAAAACCAGAATCTAGCCTAAAAAATGATGCATGTACATTTGAAAGTAAATCACAAATCTATGGTAAGTACATAAAAAGAAATATAGTATAAAGCAACTTACGAGACTCAGAAAAACTTCATGCAAATAGATATCTAAAAGTGAATTTTGCATCTAACAATAGCAGTAAATTAGATTCAGCAGACGTTGCATTATTTTGATGGTATGCATGTGCTCTCAAGTCAAAATTATGTATTTTAAGCTACTCCTAAATATACTATCACGCAGTATAAGAGAATAAACTCTTCCGGAATCAATTCATAAATGCTGCTCAAACAGAAAAGATTAAACATTAACTGAAGTCAACTTGATAAAACAACCGATTCTATAGCAATGGAACCGAACCTTTTAAAGGACTGAAAATTTTCGTAAACTTGTTAAATCTCCAGAAATAACTATATAAATACCTAAGTGAATTCGCTCACAGGGCAAGTCTCATTTGAGCTACCAAGTCCATAAGCGAAGTACATTTATGCTGTCATATAACATTATTGAGCTCACTAACTAGCTGAGCAAAATCTAAGTACACTATCCTTCGTTTAAGAAAAGCTTAAAATATATCTGATTCTAAATGCAACATGTACTCGTTGCAGAAATTCTCCCACAGATAACCAGTAAAATTGACAGCTCAACTAAACTACCAACAGAAAACAATAAATTGTACTTCTGTGAGAAAACCGAAAATAACACAAACTCGTCGCATTTGCCATTCAATGAATTTGCAATCCCATGCTAGATTCAAAACCATTAACTTCACAAAACCTACTATCTTCACAGTTAAAAATATCACAAGCCAGCTCTAATGCTTTCCGAAAATGATGATCAATGAAAATGTTAAGTCCAATCTTTAACTTTGTCACCAATTACAGCTAAAAAAATCTAAGCAAAAACGTGATCTACACACCTCTAACTCGTAACCTTAGCCACGATCAACCTAATATCATCAACAATCAATCATCGGAGGGTTCAATTAGGGTTTTGGGAAATCACATCATTTATAAGATTAGAAAATTGAAACGACACGAATTTACAAGCATCACATACAAAATTAACATTATACTACAAAATTCAAACCCATAATAGTTACCATAAAGATTATATGCCTAAATATCGAGGTGGTAGAAACCTTCAAGACTACCGTCGACCGCGAGTTGTTGATCGGTGGTGAAGAGGTCGGACGAGAAAAATAAATGAAAAAAAAGAAAAAAAAAAGAAAAAGAAAGTATTTCTTTTTACCTGATTTCGCCCGCGATTCAGCCCGAGTGAACAATGAGTTATAAGGAGCTATACGACAATCCATAATATCATGAATGGGCCTTCTGAAGATAGGCTAATTTACATATTTACATATTAACAACATGTTTTGAAACATTTTTCAGATGATCAACAATTTAAAAAATATATCAATTTTATATTGACAAACTATTTCTTTAGTTTTATATTTAGTTATTTTTGTAGTTTATAATAGGTTTATTTAAAAAAAATATACTACTATATTAAATTTAAATTATTAATAAACATTAAAATCTTCCACAACTTAAATAAATCAAACATCCAAAAACATTTTTTCCCAAAGACTGAAATATTATCAACCATACAAAGGTTGAATATAAACTACAATAAACCTAAATCTAGAAAACAATCATTATACCATAATCAAACCATCAATAAAACATCAATGAAGTTTATCTTCGCCTTCGAACCCTGGAACAAACGCGCAACGGCGTCGTACATAAGGGCGACGTCCACGGCCGCCCTTCCAGTTTGTGAAGCTGATGGCTTGATCGAGCAAGCAGGTGGGGCCCTTTCAGTTTATGTTATGTGTTGCTTGGTGGTCGGGGATACGAAAAGAGATGGCGGCGAAGGTCGACAGATTTGCCCCTCGATGGTTGTGTTGGATTTGCAATTTCTATAGTGGACTGCGTTCACCTTCACTCACAGCTGCCGAAGTCGGTCATCCGATTCAGAAGGTACCAACAAAAAAAATAATGTCTTTACTTTACAAAACCCTAGATGACTAAATTGTGTTTTGTGAAGGGAGAAAAATAGCTTATGAGGTTTAATTATTGTGTGAGACATCCATGATTGAGTGCTTGTTCTAGAAAGGAAAAGAGAAATTTGAATCCTGATTGCTTGAGCCCTGAAGTATTCATAATATTACTGTGTGATGGTATTGATGTTCCGGACTTAGATGACGTTTATAAGGTTGATCGTTCTCGCGAACATACCACTTTGAACATCATTACCACTTTGACATCTTTAATGAAACGATTGATTTCACTTTAATGGAGTTGAACGTACAGTTTAATGATACCTCTATTGATCTTTTTTCTCTCACTGTGGCTTTGAATCCTAAATTTTTTTGAATCATTTAATAGTGATGATATTCGCAAGCTCAAGAGAAAGTTCTACCCGGAAGATTTTACAGCTCAAGATATTGTGACTTTGGAATATGAGTTATGATATAGCCATATAAGGATATTCTAGTCCAAAAGCTCCCTATTCGACCGGGGAATTGCTCAAACCACTCGCATGACGACATGAATCTGTCGACATGCTCAAGTCGACTTCCTCAAAGTCGACTCTTCACAAAGATGGGTAATGAGAAGTGGTGAATATCATACAAGTCGACCCGTTGAAATCGACTTGGTGAAGTCGACTCCCAAATAGTCGACATTTACTTGAGAAGACCAACAGGAGTGTAGCCTCCGGGTAGCCAGATCCAGAGTCGACTTCTCCATGCTCGATGTCAACTCCTCCTACCTCGAGACGTGAGGCACACTAACGACTTTATACACTTGTAGCACACTCAGGGCTCTGCATTCTCCAAATGATAAGAAGGAATCTTATGATGAGTCAGCACCAAGGGGAGACGAATCGACCAAGGCAATTTAGACATTACAGGTCAACCGATCAGGGCATTTCGGGTACTTCAAGTAAGTATTCACTCCTATATAAAGAAGGCGAGGTAACCCCAAACCCTAACTCTCATTCATTCTCAACTCTCCCTCATAGCTGCTGCGCAGCCTCTTTTCATCTCTCTCATACACTGACTTGAGCGTCGGAGGCTCTACACCGGAAACACCTCCGGCGTTGAGCTTTTGCAGGTATTCTCGCAGTCTAGCAACAGTTTGAAGGTGATTCAAACAGGTCTGAGCTCCTTACCACCGGTTCACTCTGGATCTGAGAGTAGACCCATCATATTGGCGCCGTCTGTGGGAAGTTCTTGAAGGAATTAAGAGCTTTGCACCTAGCTCCGGTCTGTTTCTTATGGCTGAGAAGGAAGGTTTGCAGAGGAACTTGAATGAGGAGTTTAGGGGAGCATGGACAGACAGGAGACCACCACCACTCTCTACCCCTAGACCTCCGGTTATGCAGATGTTGGGACTACCACCATTTGGAGGACTTTCGCTGCCGGGAATGACTCTGGGTGGAGAAACACCCGTTACTCCACCTGGGGTGAAGGTGCAAGTGTTGACTCAGATGGGGACAAGTCAAAACCCTAATCCAAATGTTGGAGAGGAGGATCTAACGGAGATGTCTCGACGTGAGGGAAAGCAGATCCAAGAGGTGCCGGAGCAGACACAAACACAACCCCGCGTCGAGGAGCAGACTCTGACGATGACGAGGAGTGAAATGCAAAAGATGATCGCTGAAGCTGTGGCCGCCCAGATGAAGCAAGTGGTGCAGGTCGAGCAGAATCCGCGGGTCGAGCAGAACCTTCATGTCGAGCAGAACCTGCGGGTCGAGCAACAGTCTCGTGTCGAGCAGCATGCCCAATCAAATGTGCAGCAAAACAGAAGGGCGGACGAGGAGGAATCCTCCATTCGAACTGTCAACCCGCAGGTGAGGGATGAGACGTTAGAGCAGTTGCTGACCCAGGTCCGCGACTTGCAGGCTCGAGTCGGGAGAAGGAAGAGCAGAGGGGCGAAGGAACACCCATTCTCACAGCAGATCCTGAGAGCCGACTTACCTAAAGGCTTCAAGGAGTTGAACATATGGTACGATGGCTCCACTGACCCGTCTCGACATCTGAGGAGTTTTGAGAACATGGCAGTGCTTCACCGCTACAGTGACCCGGTGCAATGTCGCGCTTTCCTGACGACTCTGACAGGGTCGGCCCAGGACTGGTTCCACCAACTACCAGCTGGGTCGATTAAGGACTTTGATGGTTTCAGCTTGAGCTTTCTTAATCAGTTTGCAAGTGTTAGGGTGCAGGAGAAATCCTACCTCTCGTTGATCAGCATGCAGCAGAAGAAGGGCGAGTCGCTGCGAGAGTATGTGGCAAGGTTTACAAGGGCGTGTGTCGAGTGTCCGACAGCAACAGAGGAAATCAAATCGGGAGGACTGACGAGAGGACTGCTACCTGGGTTGTGTAAGAATTCTTTGGCCAAGCGACCTGGTAGGAGCTTCGACGACGTATTGGGAAGGTGTGCTAAGTACATGAATGTCGAGGAAACGGAAGTCGACTACATGCAAAGTATAAAGATGTTCTAGACCGAAAGTCGAGATGACAAGAAGGAGAAGAAGACTCATTCGACTGGGGAAAGGAGAGGATCACCACGAGCTGACAGGGGTGAAGGACGATCTAGGGGATGGAGGTCGATTCAATACACACCCCTGTCGGCTCCTCACACGAGAATTCTAGAAGTGATGGAAAGGGAGATCCGAGACGACGTCGTGAGATGGCCAAGGACAAGAAAGGATGGACCGGTGAAGCCCAAAAGTAACTTATACTGTCGATTCCATAAAGATTATGGGCATAACACTGACGATTCAGACACCTCAAAGACGAGATCGAGAGGTTGATAAAAGTGGGCCATCTAAAAGAGTTCATCTACAAAGACCGCTAGAGGTCGAGCAGAGGGAGAGAAAGGAGTAAGAGTCCTCGCAAGAGGGAAAGATCACCAGAGAATGAGGAACTTCCCCCGAAAAGGGGAGTGATTAACATGATCTTCTGAGGATCGACAGATGGAGATTCAAATCGAGCGAGGAAGGCGTATGCTCGAGGTCGATATGCAAAAGTCGAGGTGCAACAGGTCGATGAGAGCGGACCAGTGATGAACTTCGGGCTTGCCGATGTGAGGGAAGTCGAAGGACCACACAAGGACGCTCTAATGATAACCGCACAGATATCGGGGTACGAGGTGCAAAAGGTATTTGTCGATACAGGAAGTTCTGTGAACGTGATTTTCTATGAATGTCTCAAAAGGATGGAACTCGATATTGAGCTTACACCTCTACACACGTCACTCTTTTGGATTCAATGGATCAGAAGTCGCTCCCCTAGGAGAAACCATGCTCGCGGTCGTCTTAGGGGAAGGTGACTTATGGACGGTGAAGATGGTGAGATTTGTGGTGGTCGACGTCGAGTCGACTTACAATGTGATCCTTGGGAGGCCGGCGCTCAATGCCTTCCAAGCAGTGGTGTCGACTTATCACATGAAACTGAAATTCCCCGTTGGAGATCGAGTAGGAGAAGCTCGAGGGGACCAGAAGTTGTCGAGAACATGTTACCAAATCGCGATCAAAACTAATCAATGAGCCGAGGTCAAGGAGGGAAAGAAGCCAATGTCGAGTGAAAAGAGGCTGAGGGGGAGTGAGCTCGAGCCACATGGGGAATTAATGGAGATCCAAATTGGAGAAAGGGAGGACCAAACCACCAAAGTCGGGAGAGAGTTGGAGGACGAATTACGAAAACAATTGGTGGAGTTGTTGAAGGAATTCAGGGACATATTTGCATTCTCCCCTGAGGAATTGACAGGAATCGACCCGGATGTCATGGAACACAAACTCAATGTCGACCCCCTCAAAAAGCCGGTAAAGCAGCGACTCAGGCATCATGGAGCTGAATCGACAAAGCAATTGAAGTCGAGGTGGACAAGTTGCTGAAAGCCAAACACATCAAAGAGATCCAATTCCCTGAGTGGATATCTAACACAGTAATGGTGAGGAAAGCACTGAACAAATGGCGTATGTGCATCGACTTTCGTGGCTTGAACCTGGCATGCCCAAAAGACCATTATCCTTTGCCGAGAATTGACCAGCTAGTCGACTCCACGACTGGTTGCGAATTGTTGAGCATGATGGACGCATCACAAGGGTACCACCAGATTCCCTTGGCCCCAGAGGATCAAAGTAAAGTGAGTTTCGTGACCAGCAAGGGGACGTATCATGCCTTTTGGCCTAAAAAAT